ATTCTTGTGAGGATGTCAGGAGATAAGAAGTCTAATACAATGGGACGGAGTCTGACATCTGCTGTAAATTATACACACAAGAAGAATAAGCGTAGTACATATTAATAATCTTCTTTTTGTCTGAAAAATATCAATTTCTAGAATGGTTATGTTCCGAATGTTACTGTTGAAGTGGGACATCTCTTCGACGAGCAGGCATTAAATTTAAATGAGCACCCCAAGGACCAGAATGAATCTATATGTAATCAAATCGCACAAAAAAGGGAAGGAGACTCGGATGACGAAATTAAGGAGAGGCCACAACATATGCCACAGAGAAATGATAATACAATAGAGCGAGAATCAACGGACTATTTTCCTGAGATTGAAAACAGCCTTTATCATAACCCTCTACCAAATTACAATACTAAACAGAGGGAATTAGCACACCGCTATTTCCACAATTATAGACAACTTATATGAAGAGTCAGAGAAAAGTATAAACACAGTAGAGGAATTTTCCCAAAATTCGTACAACCCGCTTCAGTTAAGTGAAGAATTTTACGTCGTCCTTCAGAACTTTAAGGGGGAAGATATAAATGAAATAATCAAATCGATGAATCATAATTTATTTAGGAAGATAATGCTTGACAGATGGATAAAACTGCACGGACATGCCAAAAGACCGGTGCACACTTTGAAGAACCCTTTGTCATATTATTTGGGAAAATTAGAAAGTCTGTATAGCGTGGATGAAAGCATTGAGGAAGAACGAGTGCAGAACGGCAATGATACTATTCACAGAACCATGAGGATCATGGAGGAGTATCAGAATAAGCTGTTTTTCTACTACGTTATAGGGGATAAATTGCCGCACTGAAATCATGACTCCCTTATAAATGTAAGCGAATGTGCGTTTATCTTATTTATAAATGAGCTAGTTACTATGGAGGAGCGTCACTTAAATAGATGTGAAGTGGAGTCAGGAACACTCATGATGGAAGCCCACGGATGACGGTTGAGAAGGACACGTTGAGCGGCAGATACAAAGGTATATGCATATATATGTTTCTAAGAGGAGGAAGCCCAAATAATCTTGTAGATATATGCTTATATATACACTTATTTTATAAAGTCTTGTTTATTTGAAACAGGAGCGGAATGGATTATACAGTACCATCTCAGCAATGAGGGATGCCCCATTGGCATGATGATGCTTTTTTTTACCATGAAGAAATATTTCCATGTTGAGAGGCCAATATATGTCCTGTGGGCATTCTGAACACGGCAGTGGATTAAATTTATGTGTAAACTCTGTCAATTAATGTTCTCTTAAATCGTTATATGAGACTTATTATGGGATGCACTAAACTGTGTTAAGGGTTCCCTGCTGTTTCTATAAATATTTATACATACATCATATGAGTAGTCTCATACGGATAGAATTTTACGATTACATCTTTTCAAATTTCTCAGGGGGGATCTTGTATTTTACTTCCTAATTGCGGTAAGGATTTAAAGGATTCATTCCTCTATATGGTGATATGTTTCATTGCGCATATAAAATAGGTGATTCGAATGGAAGTGATATTTTGAGGCTGTGTCATACCAGTGAAGATTCCTTGAACCTTAAAGTAAAAGTAAGAGGAGTAGGATACGTTGGATCAATATACACATATAAATTAGCCGTACTACCCTGGCGTTAGATGTTAATAATGATATTAGGCTTCATCTTTTATGGTTACGTTTAGCATAATGTGTATGTACTATCTCTTGAACTCGTACGAATCGCATTGATTGATTCATTATTCGTATATATTCTATTGTAAATGGCTGCAATAACAGATTTTTACATGGAGAGAGGTCCAGAAAGAATTGTTAAGAAACACAGAGCTCGCAATGAAAGGAAGATCATTACAGTTTGGATTATTCTATTCAGAAAAAAAAAAAAGAACGGAAAGGACATTTATGGCGTCAGCATTTCTTCGCTGAAATAGAACTAGACCATGTTTACATTATGAAGAAGAGAAGAAAGGAAAAGACTGCGAACTGTCCATGATAGTAGAATTTGATCAGAACAGTCATTCGCTCTGTTCTGCAATAGCACCTATCGATAGTACATATATTTAATACGTTCTTTTAAATATTCCAGATTTAAATTAGAAGTCATGCGCATGCTGTTGACTATAAATCAATGAAAGAAGAGGGGTAATATAAAGGGAAACATCGTTCTTGTTGGTGCTGTACCATACATAATAACAGAGGAATAAAATTTTATCTTGACTGAGATGCAAAAATAAGGGTTGCTCTTGTATACGTAGGAAATGTAATCCTCAGCCGAAGGACCACTGGGGCTATAATGTATGCGCTGCCGTTGTAATCAAGTTATAAATTTTTGAAGTTATCAGCGTTAAATGTACAGAAGAATATTCGAGAACTCTTTTTATATGCCCTATTCTGCAAATTTTAGAAAACAGAATTGCCTGTAAAAAAATCTTATACAGGGGGGAAACTTTCATGTAATAGGTAAGACTGCCATTCTACTTAGGAACAGAAAATTCACGCCGTTTTGTTCCATGAATATTTCGACCCGCCTCTAGTGTTAGTGAAGAAATAAATTTTATACATGTTCTAGGATGTCCTTTCCTTTTTTTTTTTTCTTTACTATTGGTTAAAAATATGTTCTAGAATGCCTGAATTTATTTATGTAAGGGCTTCTGCTCTTCTTAAAAATTTTGTAGTTGTCAAACTTTTTATTAAGTATCCTTTATTACATATTTTAATGTAGTTTAAAATATCTCAACATCTTTTATAGTATATTTTAACATAGATTAGCATATTTGAGTATATTTCAAAGTATTTTAACACAGTTTATGAAAAAATAAAAAAGCCGCCCTAAGTTATAGATTTAAAACAATCTTCGCGCACGTAATAACCCCTTTCTAGTATACTTATATACACCACAGAGATTAAATTAAGCCACTATGGATTCTCTCAACAAATCCAATTCTGCGTCGGCTGACGGATGCTCAACTAAGAATAAGAGAAGGAACGGAAAATGTTCCCCCGCCAGTGAGGCCGTACAAGGAAGATCACATGACCTTAACTTCCGAAGATTTCTTTTCCCCTCCTGCTTTGTTGCCCTCCTCGTTGTCGCTATTTATATGTTGCTACTAGTAAGCTATATGGAGTAAAGATTTCTGCAATAAATAATAGGCACCCTCTCGGAAATTCCAATTCTTCCCTTACGTAGGATCAAATATACATTCATTCGGGATGTTTAGATCCCGGAAGTAGTCTATACATATGAACTATAAATATTATACATATGCATAATGGGTACGACGCCTATCATTGTAAACCTTTTTTAAAAATTCATCGCAGAAGATAACCCCCCCAGACAGAAATGTCATGGCCCAAATACGAGGAAGGAATTTAACGGAGCTCAATGAGAATGGATGCTTCAGGGAAAGAAACTCAGATACAAATGTAAGTTCCTCTGATTCTGAATCTGATGATGACGTATTATCTGCGTTTGATGAGATGGATTTAGGTGAAAATGAAGAAAAGGACCTTTTGGATGCAGATGAAAATGTTGAAGAAAAATATAAAGGAGAAAATGACTTCTGTAATGTCTACTCCTCTAGATTTGAGGAAGGAGAAATGATATTTACTAGCGATGTGACAGAAGACGAATTAGACGAACTGATAAATAATATGGAAGAATTCCCTTCGAAAAATGAAATTATCAAAATGTGGAAGCGCGCATATGCTTTAGAGGTACAGACAATTTACAAAATGCTCATTGCTCTATTCGAATATTCCGAAGAGTTGAAAGACAAACATCAGGTAAAGGAAAAACTTGCTTTCACTCATTGGGATAGCGTCATGTCCAGTTGTCTTGACATACTAACAGAAAGGGAACAACACTACAGTGAACTATTCGACGCCTTCATCATGAAAGATGACTTGACCAGAGAGGAATTTGTGAATTTCTTGAACAATTGCAAGATGGAGGTTGCCGAAATGAGAGAATCTTTAGAAACCTTTGCAAAGAAAGAATTCGATGCAAGAATTATCCCAGAAAGGGGCAACTAAAGATGGGATTTGTCAAGTGGAGGAAGTTACACAAAGGAGTGATAAAACGAATGATTCTCCACATATATATGCCAGTGCCAGCAACTATCGCCCAAGTTAATAATGTACCGAAGGAAAAGGGAAAAACGTATGCTTCGCTTCGATGCTATAACCGAACAGATTGACTTGGGGGAACCGAGATCTCATAATCTTACGGCCCAGCGATCCCAAATGAAGAGGAAGAAAAAGAAGAATAGCGTTTCGGAGTTTTCTATAATATGGCATCTGTGACGTCTGTATTGCGTCCATAAATATCCAGCCGAGAGCGAATAATATCTATGCGAAATATGGAAGCTACTCAGATTGGTAGATTATCCCTAAATTAGGTACATCTTTTTGAATTTCTCTATGTAAGGACTAAAAATATTCTCTATATATGTGATTTCTCTTCTGAGTTAACTCAGTTTTTTTAGTTTGTTTCCTTGAAATTGTTGTCTAATAGTGAACCTTTCACAATTAAGAAGGAACTTCCAATTCTGTTCGTGTTTACATGCCATTTAGTAGACAGAAGTAATGTATCTATAACTGTAGTTCTTTATGTACTTTTACGCGTGAGATCCCTAGGACAATATAGAATGACCTAATATATGTATTTCTGTATAATATAACAGTCCAAACTGCTAAGTAGAAGCGAATATGCATTTAGAGAGAGAATTCGCTAAAGAGAGTTGACCGTTTTAAAATGAGTTAAGATTGTTCTTTAGAAATTCCTTTCCAATAACACAGGGAAGTCTGAATGAACAATCGCAAAGTAGATGTTAATCTGACCTGCGTCGACTCGTGAATTTAAGTGGAATAAAGAGAATGTCTAAAGAGGGTGTAAATGTTGAAAGATGATTTACATAGCAAATAAGCCATTGCTACATAATGTCTGCCGTGATAAAGTCGTAGAAGTATGGTTATTAATGTTACAACATCAAAAGCGTAATTAAGACACTTGAAAAATCATAAAATATAGCGGAAGAAAAAGGAGAAGCTTAAAATATGATGATGTTATTCCCTATGAATAGGACACATTGTTTAATACAATGTAAGGTGGGTTATAATGAATCCAGGTAAATATTAAAATAATACATTGAGGAACCCCCTGCTAGCATAGAATACCACGACACAGTTACCATATTCATGTAATACATAACTTGTGGAATTATTTAACAGAAGGAATACTAGGAATGATAGAAACTATTCTGCAAATGTATCCGCGTTGTTTAATTTAAATGGGGCGTTATTAGTGGAATATTCTTCCTATTACACAGGAAGGAGTTCATTCTAAAGTTCTTTAACATAATTAAGAATCTTTTTACATGCATTCCGAAATGGAATAAATTATGCGCACATTTTTATGTCAGGGGGTGTCGAGTGTTCTGAAAGTAGAAGCAGTTTTTGAAGTCGACTGTGAAATTATAATATTAACGGAGCAGTCACATATATATAAAAAAAAAAAAAAAAATAAAACAAAAAAAGA